CCCCCCCCGACCCTTTCCAACACCCTCCCGGCACACATACTGCTGCTGGTGGAACAGTAGAAAGCCATCCGACCGACTCGGCGGCAAATAAACACCGCTCCCATGACCTTGGGCCGCTCCGGTGTGGGGCGTGGCGTGGCGTGGCGTAGCTCGCCAGGGGCGCCATGCTGCTCCACGCCCTGCCACGCCGCGTCCCCGCGGGCTCTGGGGAGACCGAGGCCGGCTTGTGCGCGCTGGAAAAACTAATGTGAAATGTGTCACGTGTTCAACTCCACGGGGGAATTCGGCTGCCACGAAACTTCCCTCCAGTGCGTGACTTTTTGTCTTCCACCTTGTACAGTTCACTTAAATGCGATGCACTTACTTTATTGGCCGTTATGGTGGACTTCGGGTCGGACATTTTTGTTATTACCGATAATCCGCTCGCACTATCTCATACAGCGTTCGGAGATTCTTGGCAGCCAAAATATCCATCGTCTTGTTACTTTACAATCTATTGATTTTTCGGCGTGTTTTGATGGGACGCGTCATCAAAGGGCGGCTCATCGCGACAGCCCCATCAACCCGGACCGACGCGCCCATTTGCAAATCATCAATTAGAATGTTGGTGTGTTTCATTAGCGAAACATGTCCAATACTACTCCAACAGCACTGCAAGAAAAGTGTAATTTAAAGCAGAGCCCCCGTTAAAGTACGCTCTTAAATTCTTACAAAGAAAATTCTTGTATTACAAAGAATTTCGTGCAACCGTAATACAAAGCCAAATTTTCTTCGTAATTCAAAGAAAAATCATTGTAATACAAAGAAAACTTTTGTGTGATACAAGGAAATTTCTTGTAATGCAAGGAAATTTCCTGTAAATTACGGTTGCACAGAATTCTTTGCATTATACGAACAAATTCTTTGTAAGAGAGTGTACGACAAAGACTCACTTCTTTGACAAAAATGTTTTGGAGTCCTGTAGAGACCTTGTAAGACCTTGTAAGACCCTGGCTTGGTCTGCCAATTTTTGTTGATGTGTTTTTATTTCTTATAATAGTTTTTAATGAAGTAACCACTGCCTGGTCCAGACCCATAGTCGCACCATGGGCCGTGGAGCCAGCCCGCCCCACGGTGCTTCCGCTAAGCCCTTGATACGTAGAACGTGGAGCGTCTGTCTAATGGATCCAACTCCAGGATCGCTGACGTCCGGTTTCTGCTCCAGTGGCTGCCTGGCTGGCTCCCACCGCCGTGTGCAGGAGGGTTGAGCGGTGCGCGCTCACCTGCCACGAGAGACGAGGCGAAGTAGACAGAAAAAAAAGAGAAATGGCACGGAATCAAATATGGGAATGAAGAAAGTGTTTTGATGCCTCACTTGCAAAAAATAAGTTGCTTTTTTTTCTAAATTTTCTTTTTTGATAGGCACTAAAACAGTCTAGTTAGATTTCATCTAGATTTTTAAAAAAAGCACAACCATCATTTAAAAAAACTAAAAAAAAACTGCAAATTTTTTGAGAGGTGGCCGCAGTTATTGCAGCAGCAGCGGGGTTGTGGGATTCGGGTTTGTGGGACATGGGTGTGTCGGTGGGGGAAGGGGTGGTTCAATTAAATTCGCGTGGGCCCATACATTAATTTGCAAGCCCTTTTGTGGACGGCGCCGGCTCATGCTATGCGTGGCCGTGCCCGCCCGGCCAGGCCAGCCATTCAAAGCGTCATAGGGCCTCACAAATGCGTACATGAATGCCGCTTCCGTCCTCCATCCCACCATTCCCCCTCTCTTCCCCACTTACTGTGTTTTTATTTTATTTTTTAAGTCCTTTTTGTTTATTTCTGCTGACACGGCTCGCGCGGCTTGCTGGCTGTGCGACCGTGGACAAAATGGCGCGCGTCTGTTGTGACCTCCATCCAACTACCCCCCCCCCCC